ACATGCTTTTATAATGCATATCCAATCAAAAGTGAGAATGAAATCTATCTACCATATTATATGAAATTTAATCAAATTTTAATGTTGATTCAGAAACAATTCGAGTTTCAGTTTTTGCATAGTTGTTTTTAATGATTGGCATTTCTTTTTGAAGAACGATAGAATTGATACAAACAAAAAATATACATATTAAAGCCTATTGTAAGAACATGGTATAGGTTATTTTCTATTGCAAACGTATTCAAGTTTAATATAAAATCAAAAGATATTCAGATATTTGTCAATAATGATGGCACAGTAATTAGTATAAAAAATTAATATAAAAAATTTTATTTGAAATTTATAAAATAAAAGTTTCAATCATTATATTTAAAAAAGTAAACTATAAAATAAAACCAGTAAGAGCAAATTTTAGATATATTATTTTCTCTGATAAGATTATATGTATTAATGTAATATTTGTTTCTACAAATTTAAGATACATAGTTTTTTCTGTAGGTGAAAATCGATTTCAACTATTTTTCTTGTTATTTAGATTTTATATTTGACTTGATATTTTAAAGACATAAATTAATTTTATTCTATATTTCTAGATCCAAATTAAAATCGTATTAAAATATACTTACTGGCTTTATGCATATATTGTTATTATTACTGTATTAAAGTAATTTAGTTTTGATTTAAAATTAAAAATAATTTCAATTATAATATTTTATATATAATAAACTACCATAGATAAAACAATTTTTACACAGAAATAATGTAACTACGTGACATTATTACTTTTTAAAATATCATATGTAATTAGGAACATTCAGTTATACTTATATATAGTGTCAATTTCATTTTCCATATGTAATTCAGAAACAATAAATTTAGATCTCTATTGCGCATGCTTCAAATTCGTACATTCTATTTTCTGTAGAGAAAACTAAAGAATTTTTGTTTGTAGTGTACATAATAGAGATCAAAACTCGTTGTCTATTATACTAAATTCATTGACAGAAAATATTTTATTAAACTAAAAAATACTTATTTACCATAAAATATATGTTTTGCTATTGTACAATATTTTATTTATAAATACGTAAATATATTTATGAATATATATATATATATTATTTTAATATTTTATTGCAAAATAAAATAAAATTTAAAATAATTTACTTATATTATTTTTATATACAAATTTATTTGAAAATTGTACAGAGGATTTTGTGGTTTAAATAAAATTGTAATTATATTTTTGGAACATATATTTAGGGTTGTTAATATTTTCATTTTTAATTAAATAAATTGTAATTATAATTTTAGTATTGTGATTAATTTGATAATTACAAAATTCAAGTTTTGTAAAAACATGTAATGTTATACAATTAACAAAATTATTCCTCGTATATATATAAAGTACGTGTTTCATTCAACTATCTATTAAATTCTATTAAATTATTTTTCAATTAAATTTTCAAATTAAATTAAATTGAAGTCAAACACGTAATCAATAAGTCAATAAGCTTAAGTCTCTTTAGCAAGTATGATAAATGAGAACTTTTTAGTTCAGGTACATACTGTTAGTTGATAATATGAGTTGGTCAAATAAATACTTTGTATCTTACAGAACTTACAACGGTGCAAAAATTATTCAAAATCCATATAGGACAATAAGTTTCAATTTGGTTGCTCAAAGTTTTGTTTATTGTTTTTTTCATATTTGTGGTTATTATCAGTTTTTGTTTAATAAAGAAGGAAAAACTAAGTATGAAACTTGGATCTAAAAGCAACTTAACAGATCTGAAAGTTTTAAATATTTCGCAATAGATTTTGGAGCACTAAAAGATTAAAATTATTCAATAAATTTGTTTAAATCCATTAAGACAATAAATAGATTAACTCTAAAGTATTAACTCTATTCTCAATTTTATTTTTTTTATTTTTTAGTTTATTTTAATTATTTTTTAATTTAGACAAATTTTATTCAGAAAATTATTTAACTAAAAATTCCTAAAAAACTAATGAAACTGAATACAATGTTATATTTAAAAATACAATAATATTTATAATTTATACATTTGTACTGAATGATTTAATTTAGATTTATAATTATTTGGTGAGATATTAATTTGATGTTTTTAGCTCCATAATATTTTGTACTAAATTTAATATCTAATAAATACAAAATAAATTATTTGTAAATAAGCTAATTTAAATCCATAATTTGTGCAGTTATATGGGGGCGTGTGCGCACGCATGGACGCATGCCTATGTATGTAAAATTATTATAATGTATATATATATATATATATATATATATATATATATATAATTGTAAAGTGTATAATTCAGTAAATTGTTATATGCAATCAAAAATAATTTAATATTAACTGTAATTTTTTCTTTCTTTTTTCCTATATAAATATTTATAATACGTTCATATTTAATAAAGTACAATAATAAAACATTAACAAATAATGAAAAAAGTACTATAATTATATAGAAAAAATTAACAGGTAGTGTGCAAAATGGCAGTTGCTACATGGGTTGGATAAACGTCCTATATGTGGCAAATGAAAGAATATTTTTATAGGCAATACAAAAAAATTCACCTAAGAGGTAGTATTACTTTATTAAAGAAGTAACATATACTCAAAATTAAGTTCTAATGAAATCCATTTCAAATTATTTCTCCAATAATTTTAATATGAAAATTATTAATCATATTTTAACTTTTTCTATGAATTCGAATAATATAATTAAATTATAGTTGTTTATTATGAAAATGATTATCCAAATTCCTTTAATGATCATGTTAAAATAATTTTTTATGTAATAGTATGCATATTTGTAAAGTATATATATGCATATCTATATATTATTAACATTATAACAAAAAGTGTATTTAGAAACACTTTTTAGAAAATATCGATTAAGTAATTTGGCGAGATACGTTTTAATTTTTATTCCTTTTTGAATCATAAAATTAATCAGTTATTTTTCTTTGTTTTTTTTTCATCAGTACACTACTTTCATTTCACTTTAATTTTTCTAGATTCATTCTATAATTTTAATTATGCAAATAATTTTTCGTTAATTGAATCTATCATATTAAATTATTATTAAAATAAGAACTTTTAATTTGAAAATTCTAAGTTTCATACTTGATTAAAACCTTATGATTGATTTTAATGTGTCTATTACAACATTAAATTTATTTATTAATATTTATGAATTTTTCAAGGTGTGTACAGAATCACAAGTGGCTAGTCAACTGAAAAAATCAACTGTAGATATAAGTAAAACTTTCACTTAGCAATTTATGAAATCTTATAATTATAGTTATAATAAATGTTTTATTGTAATAATTCTATAAGATAATTTCTAAGAAAATATGAAAATACTATAAATGTTTAAATAACCCATAATTTAATGGAATATAAAAAAAAAATTATAATAAAATTCGTAGCATATTGATCACTGATATATATATATATATATATATATATATATATATATATATGTGTGTGTGTGTGCATATGTAATAAAATATGGAATACTTTTAAATGAAGTTATCTACAGTTTGAAATTAATATATTTATTGTTAATATGTTAAAATTATTAAAAATTAAAGAATTTCCGAATAAATGCATACATCAATACATTTTTAAAAACATATGATAAATCTATTTTTAATTTTTAGCATAAAATTATTTTAAGACAAAGTTAATAATACGCGAAGAATATATAAATAGTTATGTTCTAGAATAAATATATTATATGATATTAAAAATATTATTTAGTTATTTTGTTTAATAATTTATTATTTATTACATATAAAATTAAATTTATTAAGTACAAAAAAAATATTGTTAAAGTTAATTTTCTCAAAGTAATAATTTGAAATGAAAATAGTTTGTATATCAATTTTAAAATATTATTTGAAAAAAATATGATACCTTATATATTTTTATTCCTACCACTAAAAAAAGTGATCCTGCATCAAAGATTAGAATTATAATATATGTAAACAAAGAAAGCAACTACAATGAAATAGATATATATAGCTTTTATATAATTCATAATACTTGAAAATGTGATGCAGCATGCGTTATGTATTGACAAATCATTTGAAAACTTTAGTTTTATTTAATCTTATATAAGAGTAGCACATTTTTTTAAATAATATGTAATTTTGCAAAAAATATATTATCAATTTTATCAGATTAAAGAAAATGAACTTTCTCGAAAACTTAAAATTATAAACAATTAAATATTTGGTTGACTTATCTAAGAGCAGGAGCATTTGATGGTTTGATTAAAAATTTATTTAAAAATTGTAGATTTTATAAGTAATTTAAAAACAATATATATATATATATATTGATAAATTAGTCATAAATGTGATTTAAATATTTTAAAAATGAAATTTGTATTAGATTGTAAAAATATACTTAATTTAACAATTATATTATGAATAAATTGAAGTGAAAATAGAAACATGATATTATAATTATAAAGTTTTGTTTCAAATATTGTATATTTATAATTACTAGTTAAACAATTTCAATAATATATGTAAAAGATTATTGAATGAATGAAATGAATAAAAATTATGATCAGTTTATTTTATTTTAAAGACATAGAGACTTGTATGATTATTTTTACATAAAATTTATATTTTAAAATACATTAATTGGATTTATTTATTTAAATTAATTTACATCCCATGATTTGTGACATATTATAAGTAAATTATTTATTTTTGACATAAATAAAGTATATATATATATATATTTATATAATAAATAATTTACTTATGATTGATCAATTAAAATAATGTAAAATAAAATGAAAATAGATACAACGATTTTATTATTTTTTTAATTATTTTTAAAATAATTACTTTTATTAAAGGGGTTTTCTTTTAAATATCTATTCAACCAGAAAAAACTAGTATAATTAAATGCATTTATATACAATTGAAATAGCGTTTTCATTAATTTTAAAAAGTAATTAAAAAAATTATATATATCCACAAATATATTGACTATTGCAGTTGTATTGATACTTTTGTAAAATTTTCATTCTTTAATTTAATGTAAAATAGCTTAAATAATGTATAAGCATTTAAATATAAATGATTAACTTCCTCCGTGTTTTGCTTTAGCAAAAAGATGTCGTGATATAATAAGTCTTTGAATCTGTGCCGTTCCCTCATAGATTTGATATATTTTAGCATCTCTCATTAGTTTTTCTACTGGATATTCAGTATTAAAACCAGCGCCACCAAAAATCTGTAAAATTAAATTTTTAAAAATCAATAAATAATTTTTTAAAAGAAGCACTGTTTAATGACTTCATATTATCAAACACATTTTTTTATAATTTGTTGATTTCTGTTACAATTAATTATATTTTTTTAAATTTCTTTTAGAATTATTTATACTTCTTTTGTTAGTTTCTTTTATATTTTAGTAAGAATCTTCATTATTTACTACCTGAACAGCATTAGTTGCACATTTATTTGCAACATCTGCACCATAACATTTTGCAATACTGGCAAGCATAGATCCACTTGGATCATTGTTGTCAATTGCCCATGCAGATTTCATCCAAGCCAACCTTGCAGTCTCAATACCAATTGCCATATCAGCAAGCAAGAATGCTACAGCTTGATGATCAGCGATAGGTTTATTGAATGTTTTACGCTCTAATGCATATTTTGTAGCTTCATCCAGTGCTCGTTGAGCCAAACCAACAGCACCACAAGCAACCTTTAATATAAGTTTTCCAAATATATAGTAATGTAAATAAGAATATTAATGAATTGGGTTCTATTTTATTTATAAAATCAATGTTTTGTATTTTAATAATGTTCAAGAATCTTATGTTTTAACAAATAATAAAGCTTGCAAGTATAAATGTACATTATATATTGTAAAAGTTTATAATTTATTAAGTTTCTTTGTTAATCGAATTATAACCAAATATTAAAATGTAATTAAGAATAAAAATTAAATTTCGAATAAAATGTTTAAATCTTGATTAAATGATATTAATGAAAGCATAATAAATAATTAGCTAAATAAACAATTAAAACTGTAGTTTTTCATTCAATATACTAAGAAATAAAATGTTATAAAACTAAACAATCTAGTTAATTAATATAATATAAAAAATTTGGTTTACTGCAGGTCTCGTCTTATCAAAAGTCCCCATAGCTATTTTGAATCCAGCACCTTCTTTAAGTAACACATTTTCTTCCGGAACTCTAACATCTTCAAAAGTAACCATACGAGTATCTGAAGCTCTTTGACCCATATTTATTTCCTATAAGTTTTACATAATCAATATAAAACAATTGTTAAGACTTTTCATTAGTTTAAATAAATAGTAATTTCTACATTAAATTACATTAAATTTATTTTTACAGAAATAATAATACATTTTATAATATTATATTTATCAATTATATAATTATAAAATAAGAAAAATTTTCAATATTAAAGAAAAATATATTTAATTATAAAAATGAATTCTTAAGCTTCATTTTTCAAATATATTTTCAAATAAGAAGTTATGTTCTTAATGACTTCAAATATTAATTAATATTTAAGATAAAATTAGTAGAATCCTTCTGCAATAGAAAATTATTTTAAATTATATAATAAATAATTTATTTATAATAGTTAAATGTAAATATTTTTAAACAATTTTATATAATACTTTACGTTTGCAAATGTTTCAAAATTTTAGACTTACTTTACGACCAGGAGTTAAACCATCACTATCACGATCAATAATAAATGCTGTAAAAGCTTTACTGGCAGGAACTTTTGGATCTGAATTTGTTCTTGTTAAAACAAAGTACCAATTTGCAACTCCTCCATTGGTAATCCACATTTTTGTTCCATTAATGATCCATTCTTTACCCTTTTTTACTGCCTTAGTTTTTATACCAGCTACATCAGATCCTGCACCTGGTTCCGTAACACAGTATGCCTAACATGTAAAAAATAAATTAATTTGAATGTATTATCAACAACAAATTGAACTAGATATTATATTATGTTATTTATTATTTTATTATTTTTATTTATTAAATAATTAACTGCTACTAATGGCTCTTCAATTAATCTTCCAAGATACTTTTTTTGTTGTTCTTTATTTCCAGCTAAGATAACAGGTGTTTGCTGTAAAATAAATAAATATTTTAAGTTTCAAACTTCAATAATAAAAGAATTTAATTAAATTAAAATAAAGAAACGTATAAGTACTGCAAGTCCTGATGCTTCTAAAGCAGTTTTAATCCCTGTGCAACCATAAGCAATAGCTTCACTTACAACACAACCATCGAAAATACCAAATTCAAGGCCACCTTTAAATAAACAAAGATTATTAATATATTAAAATAAAATATTGAAATTTTTAAGTATAATATTAATACATACCACAACTTTGAGGAATATGGTGATTTATAAGTCCTAAAGCCCAAGCTTTTTTAACAATATCCCAGGGATAATTTCCATTGCGGTCATATTCAGCTGCTACTGGTATAATTTCTTCTCTAGTGAACTTTTGTGCGATTTCATGCATTTCCTTCTGAGTATCATTTAATCCTTAAAGATTTATTTGAAAAAAATTTTTTTTAAATACGTGTATTTAATTTTTATAACCTTTATACATTTATACAATCTTTTATTCATAATAAAATTATTTATAGTAATAATTAATTACTAAAATACAAAATCATAAATCAATAATAAAAAATAATTAATTATTGATAATTAATAACAATTAATAATTCATTCAAAATAAAGAACTTAAAGTTATAATTTTTATTTCTTTTTTATTTAAACATGGTATATATAAAACTGGTTTATTTTAAGACAAAATGATGTGAGCTTTATCATAAATGAGGTCATCTCTTTCAAAACAATGATAAATAATATTTAATTCCTCAGAATACTTTATAAAAATTTTAAATACTTTTAATTTCCTTTTTGTGAGAAGCCTATAAAACAATGATTGTCTAAAAATACTTACGAAAATTATAATTTTGATAAACTTTACTTGTGGAAAAGAATTTAGTAGAATTTTGAAGTCGCAACAGATTAACAATCTAAAACAGTTTTATTTTTATAACAATTATATTTTTACCAATAATTAACGATTTTAAGTTTTAATAAATATTCATTATTGTCATTTAAACAAAATATTCTAAATGATGCTACCTTACAGAGCATATTTTCGTTTATAAAAATTTTAATGGGATTAAAATTAAAATTTATAAATGCTCAAATATCATTGAATAAATGATTTAAACAACTAATCGTAATGACTTGCACGATGCACTTCAAAGCTATTCGCTATTGTGTGACTGTTTGGAAGAATGAACTCCATAAATAATGATTACGCATCATTCTATTCGTTCAAAGGTTATAAAATTTACTTGAACTATAATCATAACATCACTCATTAAGTGAAGCTCTTTATATTTTATACCCACCCCTGTATATTACCTCTGTAACAGTTATACATTATAACTTTATAATATGAATTTTTTAAATAACTTCACAATAATATATGTATTTTTTAATTAAAATAGGATACTTTAAGATTTTATTAATCTCTCATAATTACGTTTTATGTCAATTTGACATACAATCAAATATAAATTTCCTATAAACACTTAATTTTTAAGTGTTATATTTTCTTTTATTACTGTTATTTTCTAACACAATCATATTTTATTAACATTCAATCATGAAGATTATAGTTCATCCGTTAACAAATGATCCAACTGGTGCATGGCAACAACTTTCACAGCAACAGAGAGTTATTAAAATAAATACAAAAATACCAACAGATGAAACCCCAAAAAATAAGGTATATATTTATAAACAAGAATAATGTACTTTTAATATTTCAATATACTTGTACAAAATATGAGTATATTTAAAATTTTACATTAAATTTTGCAATTAATTTTGTTTTATTTTAAAATACACTAGCATAATCAGTATAACATGTTTTATAAAATTTTAAAAACATGAAATATAAATAAATAATGTAACATGAAAGTTTAAGCAATATTGGATATTTGTTTTATTTCACATTTTAAAAATAAAATTGTTTAAATTAAATTGATTAATATAAAAAAACTTTATATTTGATTAAATTCTAAGAAAAATTTAATGTTATATTTGTTTTCATTAAATTTTATAAAAATCTTATTCTAGTCATTGTTTTATAATTAAAGTTAATTAAATAATTATTTTGGGTTCTAAAAAATATAGTTAGAGCTTGAAATATTTATTGAATAATTTTCGAATTATATATTATATAAATCATTAATTCTTGTATATAATAACTCTGAGATAATATAATAATTAATCACTTAGTTGCGGGTTGTTTGTATGAGCGATACGCATTCAATGATACAATATATAAAATTTAATATTCCCAATGGAGATGTTTTTATACATGCTGGAGATTTTACCAAATGCGGAAGTCTTCAAGAAGTTATAGACTTTAATAATTGGATTGGTAATAACATTATTTAAGATAAAATTATAAATGAAACTTTTACTAAAATTTATTTAAAATTTTGCATGTATACAAAAATATCTTATTTATCTGTATACTTAGAACTTTTGAATTTATTTAAAATTTCTTAAACTTTGTTAAAATAAATTGATTTTTTTAAAGAAATTAGAAAATGTATATTTTTTTAATTTTTAGGCAATCTTCCACACAAATATAAAATTGTAATTGCTGGAAACCACGAACTTAGCTTTGATCCTACATTTACTCATCCATTTTCCAATCATCAAAGTAGAAATTGGCATATGATTACAAAAACCAGTATATTTGATAGTATACCTACCTTAGGGATTCCAAAAGATGTTTTGAATGAAGCCATAAAAACAAATAATATTAAGGATAAATTAACTAATTGTATTTACTTAGAAGATAAAGAAATTATTATTTCTGGTATTAAAATTTATGGTACACCTTGGTATGTATAATTATTACATTAATTTTATACAAATTTTTTACTTTAAAGATGTAACTTTAATGAAAATTATTTTATATATTACAAGAGATAAATTTATGATACATAGTTTCATACAGGCAACCAGAATTCTGTAAGTGGGCATTTAATATACCTCGTGGAGAGCCATGTTTATCCAAGTGGGATATGATTCCTGATAATACAGATATACTTGTTACACATACCCCTCCTATAGGACATGGTGATCTTTGCTGCAGTGGAGTTAGAGCTGGTTGTGTAGAACTCTTAAATACTGTTCAAAATCGTGTAAAACCTAAGTATCATGTATTTGGACACATTCATGAAGGTATTTGAATATATTATTTATTATATTCATTTAGATTCAGAATAATTTTTAATTATTCTATATAATATATATTAATAATTAATTTCAACAATTAAATATCTAATTTGTTAAATTGCAGTATATTTTTAATAATTACTAAATTTAATATTTTTAATTTGACATTAATATACTCTATTTGACTAATCATGTTATATTTATTTTAGGGTATGGTGTGTCTTCAGATGGTAAAATAATATTTATAAATGCTTCCACGTGTGATTTAAATTACTTACCCAGCAATCCTCCAGTAGTATTTGATGTGACACTACCAGTAGATATAGAAAAAATATAAGTTATTAAATCGTTAAATTACATTTGTTGAAGCACCAAAAATAAAAAAGTAGAATATTGCTATTGAAATGAATATATGGTAACAGAGTAAGATCAATAAATATTAAGCAAATAAGCAAATTAACTTTTCAGTACAAACATAAAATGTAAATCAAATAAATATTGAATTAAAGACTGCTTTTATTTAATAGAAATTTGTTTAATAATAAAAATAATTTCATAAAATTTCAAGTAAGTCATAAATATTTAATTTATTAATAGATTTTATTCAAAATATCATTCGTAAATAAAATAAAAAGTTAAATTGTTTTATGACAATAATTACAAATAAAATAAATTTAATAAAATTCAATTCTAGAAATGGATACGTAATAGTTTTACAATAAAAAATTTAAGCAATGTAAGTGATTCACATTTTTTACTTAAATTTCTTGTACTCAAAAAAATATTTTTTACCCTTAAAATATTAGACAAAATATTGATTCTTACCATTTCCCTTCATTATTATTACTTGAATAAAGAGTATAAATAATTTTTAATGAATAAAATAATTATATTATTTATCTTCCAAGCAACTATTTTTATAATATAAAAAAGTTTTCACAAATGTATTTAAATATACAAAATTAATTTTGTTTTATATTAAATATGGTAAATAAATTAAAGCAATATTTTAAAATAATTACTTTTATAATTATTAAAATTTTACATAATGATCAAAAATAATTTTAGTTTGTAATAAAAAATTGAACTTGACTCAACTTGAAATAAAAAATTGAAAGTAATGAAACCTAAAAATGTGTTATTATCGTTTCATTTGTAATAAAATAAAATTTGTGTATATCCATTTATGTCAATTTTAAATTCAAAATAAAATATATGCAAACTTCCATTAGAAAAGGGTTTGTTATTAATATTTCAAAATATGCATTTCTATTGTATGTAAAATTCATTCTTCTCCAAAAGATGTCTAACATTTCACACAAATTTGAATAAAATGAGTTTGTAATTATAGATAATATAGTGTTCAAGAAAGTAAAGGTACAACTTATGCATTGATTTATATTTTATCGTGCAAGAAAGTTTTAGAAAATATTCCCGAATAATGTTTATTAAACTATTTGGTATGTTTCGAATTTTAGATGTAATAGAATTTTTAGAAAAAAACAAGTCACTGAAAAATTTGTCTATTTCCTAAAATCATATTCACTCTCTTGATCTGGACCTTAGATAATGATAGTCAATTATTAAAGTATAATATATTCTCCTTATAACATTCGTATTAAAAAAAAACTGAAGTATCTTACTATGAAGTACTTAATATGGTACATTTGAAAATAAATATGACACAGATTCTCCATTGTGAGTTCTCCTAACTGCTTCAGCAAACATCATTGAGACATCAATGCACTAAAAGAAAAACAAAGTAACATAAGTGCATGTATTATTTTAACAATAATTCAATGTTTTTGTTTTATAATTAATATGATAAGCTAAGTAAAAAATATTGAAAAAATTATTGTGATAAATAGCAATACAACAATTAGAAGTTAAAACATAAGCCAATTATTAATTATACATATATTATTAATATAATAAGGTTTCTTACGACACTTCATATTAACGTAAATACGAAGATGCATAGATTGAAAATATGAACTCAGTGAAATATTGTTTTATTCTAAATTTTTTGTTATTAATTAATTTGAGATTTATATTAATTTCATATTCCAATGCAATATGTAAAACATTAAAGTTAAAAAAAATTATAAGATTTTAATAATAATTATTTATATATATAATTACGAAGATGAAATTAAATATTTAATGTAAAATTTTATGTTATGTTAAAAAAACATACAAATGTATATTTCAAAAAAAAGGGTTAAAATGTTAAATTTTTTATCAAAAAGAATAAAGGAATAAATAAATTATAATTTATATTATTAATTAAATTACAATAAAATAAATAATAAATAAATTATAAGTACCTGAATTTTTGAACAGTCCTTCATGTGTGCATCTTGAGGAATGGTATTAGTAACGACAACTGCTTCAAAACATGCATTATTAATTCGAGCGATAGCAGGACCACTAAAGATACCATGAGTCAAGATTGCATAAACTTTTATAGCGCCAGCCTCGACTAGCTTATCCGCGGCATGGCAAATTGTACCACAAGTATCGGCCATGTCGTCAACAAGGATTGCAACTCGATCTTTAACATCGCCTACAAGTACCATACTAGCCACTTCATTTGCTTTCTTCCTCTCCTTATGTATAAGGGCAAAATCTACATTTAACCGATCTGCTATTGATGTTACTCTGTAAAAAACATTTTGTATATTATTTTAGCCTTTTAAATTTTACTTAATATTTTGAGCTCAAAATTACTTTATAATTTGTTCCATAATTTACGTTTAGCTTTCAATTTTTCGTGATATATTTCATGATATATTCAATTTTTCATGATTATATAAAGTTATTATACATTAAATATATCAAAATTATCGTTGTAATTTCAAAATCTTATATTTGCTTTTATTATCTATAAATAAACATTGTATTACAGATAATTTGTTACGATAAAGTTTTTTTTTAATTGTAAAAATTGACGTATTTACATTTTTAATCGTTTACACAAATTGATAAAAAATTAAAATATTAAATATACTGTATTCAATATTTTTCTGTTTTATAATGTACAATATCAAATTTAAGTATGAATGAATATCAAAGCTAAGTAAAATAAGTATAAAAAATGATAACGAAATTGATAAATTAATTTGAATAAGTTTTTCTTTTAAAAACGAATAAATGTTTATAATTTAATTAACAGACAAGAAAAATTAAATAAATGCTTGTAGTAAGGTTACTCGATATATAATCCATTAAATTGGTCGATCAATTAAAAATTCTTACATGACTGCATTTGTAACTGTTGCAACACAATAAAATAAAGGAAAAATTGGACACATGCACTTACGATAATTTTCTTCATCGCCTAATCCTCGGGTCTGAAGGGCCCATTAGCGTGATAAAGCAATAAAGTATTTGAAGAATTTTTCTTAGAGGAGAACTTCAGATTTTCCTTTACATTTATTAAATTCCTGTCTGGATGTAGGGGCATGAACAACTAGGACTCCGCGCGTGCATATTCCGAGATTCTTCCAATATTTTCTCATGTGATTGATCGTTGTTATTTTTGTTGTTACTATTTTAATAAATTCTTGACTTTACAGTACTTATTTATTTTACATTTTTATAATTATTGAATTAATTTATAATCTGTGCATAATTTTTTTAAACTATAGCTGCATTTCAATTAAATAAAAATATTTTTAATTCATAGCTTGCAATACGCTGTCTGAATAAGTATTCGCATTATATAGATGTTAGATAAATTTCACCTTTTCGCACCACCAGCGTCCGGAGATACAATAGTGCTATTTCTCCATTCGGGAATATTCTCCTTAATCCATTTAAGGACGGCCGGTTCGGCAAACAGATTGTCCACAGGTATATCGAAAAAACCCTGTATTTGACTAGCATGTAAATCCATGGTGATAATATGATCAGCCCCGGCAACCGATAACATGTTTGCTACCAACTTAGCCGATATGGGTGCGCGACTCTGTAAAATATATAATACGTTCATTAACAGATGACAATTAATTCTCTTAACAAATAATTGAGTCCTCGAAGTCCATTTTCAATTGAACATTTCCTGTAATCTAAAAAAAATCTCCTGATTAATTTTTGTACTAAAAGATAAAAAGAATAATATTAAAAGAAACCAAGTACAACCGATATTAAGATATACGGAGTTAATCAAAATAAATATGATTATAAACTGCCCATGTTCCTTTGCTTCATAATTTATTTATATATTATACTATATTCACAATACGTAAAATGAGGATCTAAAAAGTTGATTCAAAATATTAATAATGTTATTATTAATAATATTATTAATATAATATAGTTAATAATAAAATACAAAATTAAAAAATATTAATATAATGGTCTATTATAAAAGAGCATATATCAAAAGATGTTTTACTAAAGAGTTGCAAATGCACCACTATTAAATGTGATAATATTAATATTAATATTAATACTATTAAATATGACTCAATAAGTAAAACAGTTCTTTAACAATTAATATTTAAATAATAAAAAGTAATTAATAAGCATCATGCTTATTTTGATATAATTTACTTGAAATATTAGTTTTATTAAAATATATAAAGTATACGAATATAGTACAAAAATCAAGATTTTATATTTACTATCTAATAAAACTTTTTAAAATGTATAAAACTAATTCAATAAATTTAAGTTGCTCCAATTCCAATTCTCATAATTACTATATTATTCAATGAACAAAAGTAACAAAAACTTGTTTAAACTTTATTAAAAATAAAGTAAATATAAATATAATAAAATTATTAATATAAAAAAATATATATAAAGAATGTGACTATTGTGAAAATAATGTAAAAATTTGAAGAAAATAGTTTTTTAATAATATTTCATTTGCAACGTATATTAAAATGCATTGTCTTTTATATAAATATTTTGAATTATTTATATAATTTTGAATTTTAAATGATCTACAATTCAAGAATCTGATCCATGTTAATTTTATCTTGTTAAAATCTGCCATTAAAAAACTAGAGAAATATTGTTACAAAATCAGGAACAATAACTATCAACTCTTTCTTGCTTAAGCATTAATCTATTATTAAATAATTAAGATATTTTAATAATCTAATACTTATTAGATAACATTAACAATTATAAATAAAGCACTGAAAAATAAATATAAGTAAAACTCTTGAATTTCCGATTATTTTGTTTTGTGCATAAAAAATAAAAATGAAAATGTATTTAATAGTTATTTTAGGTGTAAAGTTTAATGTATATTAATATTTTTAATTAATTATATTAATTAATTACTAGTTTCATTTATATACAATAATTATAGTTTATATCAACTTTTACAAAATCACATACTCTGTTGTAGGTAATACAAAATTGATTAGCATGGTTTTATATAAAATAGTGAAAATTAATAATGAGCTCTGCAAAGACAAGTAAACATGTATTTCAAACCCTAAATGAAACAATAAATAAACTAATAATCCTATTATAATAATATTTTACCCATTCATTTATTAACTAGTAAACAAACTTTATGGAGAAACTAACATTAATTTAATTATAATATTGAAAATCATCATATTGAATAATAAGAATAAGAATTAAGATAATATAGATTTATTCTGTAAATCCTAACCATAATACCAATCATTACATGGTATATAAATAATGATTAATAGATGGATAAATTGGGAAAGAATTAAAATTTTTGTCATATAGTAGTAATAATAATGATGATAAACATTTCATTTGAAAATTTTTCTATTCACTGTTAATTTTCTTTTTATACTCACTGTCAACAAGTCAGGTACAATGTTCTTAAAAGATGGAGCAATTCAGAACATTGTTATTAAAAAATTATGCATATAATTTATTTTTATGTTATTAAGAATGTAAATGTATGCAAGTCTGATAAATTTGTAAAAACTTATAATTAATAACGAAGTATATAACTTACATTATTATATTATAAAGAAGATTCTACATACTAAATTATAAGATAAATTTGTGTTTAGAAGAAGCATAATTTTCATTTACTTATATCTTATATTTTAATAAAATTTGTTCAAATCATTTATTTAATCTTCTTGAATACAACACATATGTAAATTATTAAAATCTCTAATTAGTATATATTTAATATATTAAATTTAGAATAAAGTTTGAAAATACTGATTTTTGAATGTCAAATTTTTTTTTATATTTTCAATGATTTAATAAGTAATTGTATAATAATATCTAATTTTATTATGTATATTGTTTATTGAGATATATTATTTCTAAATAAATATAACAATATGAAATCTAAAAAGAATCCAAAAAATGAATGAAATTATAAAAAAATATTAAATATTTCAAATTAGTAACTTTAGAATTTTTCAGTACTATGTAGATTAGTGCTAAATTTTGTCAACTTATATTTATTAATGCTTAACAAGGTACCCCATATAACTGTCATTACATTCTTGTCATACACATTGAGGGTTATCACTAACCGATAACCTTTATATTATCATAAAGCAATATCGCCTAAAGTTTACGTATGTTATATTTAATTTTATTTTTATTGTAATTTAATTTTATTGTTATATTTAATTTTAAAATCATTCATAGTAGTATTATCAAATGCACAAAAATAATATAATTACAAATTTCAAACGTCTTAAAAAGATATTTTATAAATTATAATCAGATAACTATGTCAAAATTATTATTATATATTTTACTAATAAAAATAGATTTCTATTTAATTTAAAAGACTTATGTTTAAAAATAGATTTATAAAAATTTTTCTTAACAAAAAATTTATATCTTTTTATTTTTAAAATACTTTAATATTAATACAAATTTTATATAAAGCAATAACGTGATTACGTTGATTAAACATTTATGAAACTATAATGATTATAATCAAAATTTCGTCTTTTCAAATGGGTATATTCCTTTTGATATCAATAACTTTACATATTCTATTTTTTATGATATGCTTGTTACATTATTATCTTTCTCTAAAGCTAGTGAGACAAAAAATCAGAAAAAAAGGAACACCATAAGTTACCCTGAATTTCCATTCGTTCGACTTCATGACAAATTGACTCTTAGATAAATCTGACTTGTCCCCACCATCACCTCCCTGTGAAGAAATTGATAATATAAAAATGTTACAGCAAGCAATAGTTACATAATTTTATATCAGTTTATAGTTTTTAGTACGTAAAAAGGTATCTGTAACATGAAAAATATATACATATATATATTTTTTAGAAAACTTATACTGTGTAGTTTGACAGATGCTGAAAAAATAAATTTTTATTAAAAAGATTACAATTTATACAAAATGAAGAAAAATAATTGTAAATATATTATATAAAGTTATAAAATATAAGTATCTAATAAAAATAAATCTAATCTGATTTATAAATCATGGATATTATTTCAAGGATGTTGAATAATATTATATTATATTATAATAATATATATATTCATTGGTTTGTATTTCATAAAGTTTTAACATTGTTGTTTTTTAACATGATTAAATGTAAGTAAATTAATATTGATAATATACTCAAATTTAAATAAAATAGAATAAATTTCTATATTTTAATATGCAATTTGAAAATATACCATTTAAAAGGATTATTCATTTTAATCGGTAAGTTTTATATAACAAGATGACTATTTTTACGATACTTTATAGCATGTGCAAAATATTAAACCTTGTAGACTATTTAAAAAATATTATTTATTCTATATTTACTAATGAAATTATAGTTATAATTTATTGATATATTTATATTTTAAAATTAAAATTGAAACAGTGAAATTATATATATAACAAATTTTTGAAGAAGTTTTATATTATACAATTAAAATATTTAAAAAATATCAAAAAACATTTGTATTACATTGTTACAAAAAGTTTATTATAAATTATAGTTTTATTTTATTTGTATCATAAATTAAATGCTAGTAATAGATATATTAAATATTAGATTTAATATTTAGTACAAATTGTAAATTTTATATATATTTTTGCAAATCATCTTATATTTTTCATAACTTTTTTTTTCTTTTCAATATTATTCTCAATAAAGTAATGTAAATTATTTTATTTTAATATATGTTTATAAATCTATTCAAATAGTTTTTATAAATAAAAATTTTGTTCAGTTAATTTTCTATTCAATCATATTGAGAAGAATTATACCTTATCCTTTTTATCCTGACGGGCATATGGAAAACAAGGAATTACAGCTGTTACACGAGAAGCAGATGCAATTTTACAGGCATTGATCATAATCAGCAATTCCATCAGATTATCATTAACTTCACCACTACCACTTTGCACAATATAGACATCTTCTCCGCGAACTGACTCTCCAATTTCTACACTGTGTAATAAATATATTTATTAATATAAAATTAATGAGTTTTCAGTTTCTTAAAGCTTCATTTTAATATAATTTTATTAATTTTATGTTACATTATATTGATTTTTATTTAATTAAGCCAATTTTCTATAGTAATTAAATTGTAGGAATAAATTATTTTAAAATATTATACAAGTTAAGAAAAGCTATTTAATTTTAAACGATATAGTGCTTTTATTTATATTATAATTTATGTTAATAAATGTTATTATCAATTCCTTTATCATTTAAAAAACTATATTGAATGAAAGGCAGTGTAATTTATTTACAATTATATTAAATGTTTATTATTTATGTTAAAATATATATTAGGTCGACAATTAAATAAATTATAAATTAATGGATTTTTAATGAATAAGTAGGTTTAAATAGTAAAAATTTGTTTAAAATTTGTATAATAACTATAGTTCCAAATTAAAGTTTTCAAAGATACTCTTATTGTAGTTTGTTATGGTTCACATATATTGGAAGCTCTTTGATTCTACATTATCGATATTTTTGAAAATAGAAACGCAATCATAAAAAATGTAACACTTGCAGCTACGCTTGTTCCCGCGCTCGAACACGTGGTCACAGAAATTGACAGAGAATAAATACATGGCGCATATGCATTCGATGTGCACAGTTCTGAGTGCGCGGTAATTGATATGCAATCTGCGATACAAGTTCAGCATCTATGAAATTAAAAGGAAAAAATAATCTCGAATAGGTGCTGATATAAGTCTGCAGACGAATATACGATATAGAAATGGACTAGAAACAAGGGTAATAAGTTTAAAGATAAAAGAAATTGCTTTAGGTCACTATTTACCAAGTTTCCAGATTGCTGAATTTTTTGGTGACAACCTTGCCGATATCAATGCCAAGTCTATCTACAATTCGCTGTGCGAGATCCGGATGCGATGTCCCGCTAAAAACTTTAATATTCGGCATTCTGCTTTGTAGGTAGCCACTACTGCGGGGCTTCTCCAAGTTTGCGCGTAACAAACTCTTAGCACGCACTGGTTGCGAGACGGGCATCACTGCTCCACACACATAGAAGACCAACGTTGAAGTACACGTGCATGACAAAGAGGGCGATACAGAGAAAAAAGTGCACATATATGGGTATATCAGCTACATCAGAGGCAGTGGCGGCGTAGCAGTTGTTCGGTATGTAACATAATCAATCGCATAATTTTTACAACCAATCGAAATTAATTATGACATTAAGGGCGGATATGACGCCAATATATTGACTCCGCCTGTTCCCAGCTCATCAACATCTCTTTCATATCATTCGTATATATGAATATGCTGTACTTAAAAATTAATAATCTAAGTTTTAAATGCTTTTAACATGCTCGTATATGCTTAGGTTGTTCAAAAATTAATATAAGGATACGTATAAGAGGTTTTTAGGAATTTTTAGGAGGATCGAAGTTTAAAAAGCGCAAATTAAGCAGAACTTTTATTCTTAATCTCTATATACGGTTTATAAATTGAATCAATGAATCCTCATACAATAATATATCAACATAAGTATATTAATCATAATACGAATTTGTTATAAATCGTTTATTAAGTTTGTATTTAAAAAAATGAACCAAAAAACTTTAACAAATAAAAAATTGTAGTAAAATAGTTTTATTGACATGAATGAAAAGATTTAACGAAATTTCTATAGAAAATAGTTATACATATTTTACTGAGTCTAAATTTTTTATTGTTAATTATTAAAATTCATATCTGGTTTATTTATGACCAATATATTAAATAAATGTTTTATTTTTGATAATGTAATTGCTTGTATTAAAATTTTAATTAAAACTACATACATATTTGAAGCATCTGCCTATATTCTGCAAAAGTGATTTATCTATTGATATGTTCTACTTTTATTTAGATTTGAATAATGAATATCAATATATATAATTCTTGTCATAAGTAGATAGTCAACACTGAAATTTTTAATAATAAAATTTGTTCTATATCATGTGATCTTTGATTTTTGTACTATTTCCAATAATTAACCACCTAAATTAAACAAAATATAAATTGTTTCTAATGAAAATAGTAATATAATAAAAATTTATGGAAACATTAATATATCTAATTTATGAACGTTTCTTTTAAATATATATAAAATAGAAATTATTATACATTTTAATTAATTTTGAATAGCAAAACTGAAATGTGATAAAATAAATATATACAAAATTAAAATATCGTATTATATATGAAAAATACATAATAATTTCAGCAATGATTATTTACGTAAATGTCAAGATAATAAATGAAGCATTGAATGTTTGAGGATTGGCTATATCGAGTCCAAATTCCATAAAGATATTTCTATTTATTATATGGTTATAAGACATGTTCACTAATCATTATTATCACGTTAAATATAATACAACTCATTTAAAAGCATCCCCTTTGAGAAATATTTATTCTAAAAGAAAACACATTCTATGCCTTATATTTTCATATTTCAGGAATTGGATGATATTAATTGGGTCCAGCATACCTATAGGTTCCAATTGGTTATACAAACACTGTAAGCCTTTTATTAAACTAAAACATAATAAGGAACCAAATATAATAAAATATAATATTATAATTTTAGTTGATTCTTTACTCATAATTCCTCTGAACGAATACAGACATAAAGACGTTACGCACCACATGCATGAACGATATGCTCATATGCATTATACCAAATACAAGCTACATAGAGGCGAATAGAGGCTATAGTTGCACACGTTATACGATATATAAAATATTTTAAATAGAGGAGATTGGTCAAAATACGCAATGTATAAATTCGTTCCTAATTTGTAATTTGGTCATAATCAGGAAAAAATGATAATGTCATCATTATTTGTTCTTTTTATTGAGTTAAAGTCTACAAAATACTCATGATGTCAAGAGAATCTGCGTAATGGATTATGTAAAACTAGTCCGTACAAAGAAAGAGTGACTCACTTTGAATGAGAAGGAAGAAAGAATACACGTACCGTACTGATGTACTGATGAACAGAGTTAGAGCGAAAAAATGAAAAAAAGAATGCGTAATGTTAATTTACAGTACATTTACTTGTACTCGTATAAAATACATATATTATAAAATATAAAAATTTTTTTAACAATTATTATAGAAAGAAGGTTTTGCATTTTAAATTAATAGAATAGTTTGGTTTATCAAAACGAATTCGTTAAGCAAATTTGTTTTGATGTACCATTGATTTATTCCTAAAACTTTTCAAATATATAGTCGTTGATAAATCTAGTATATATTTAATTTGGGATGACAAAAATCATACCAATAATTTGATAAGGCATAAGAGAAAAACAAGTCATTAAATTCATACGGCATAAAATTGTAATTATTTACAGTTAACAATTATACAATTTTATTCAGTACCCATGAATATATAAAAATATAAAAGAATCTAATTTTGATAAATTTTTCTTTTCTCTCTCTCTCTTTCTCTTTTTCTCTACATGTATACATATGCGCGTGTGCATTATAACCATTATAAATTAAGGACTTATTGTATAAATTGTAGTTACGTAATAAATTGTTTATTAAAACAATTTGTATATAATTAAAATAAAGTAATATTTAATTTTAAATGATCAGTGGAAATAATTATATTAGGATATTGTGAAACATCAATTTTACAAATACATTTATTTAAATAATAAATTAAAATTGTTGATTATATTACTTAATTATTTCGCACAAATTTTTATTTAAATTATGTGTTTTGTAAAAGTCTATAAAAAATATACCATTAATTAAAAGGAAATCTATCATCTTAAGTGAAGAAATATTTTTGCAATAAAATTTCTATTTTGTATTTGAATAATCAAAAGCTTTTAAATTTATGTTTAAATTTTGAGAATAATATAAAAATCCAATGTTTTATTTTTTTCCAGCAGTACTTTTATACATATCAAAATTAACATTATTTATTTTAATATTTATTTTTTATCATCATTAAAATAATCGTTATAAAAAATAATATATTTAAAAAATTATTAAATAAAATAAAAATTTGCATATTATAAAATAGTGGTAAACATATTTTATGACAAAAAAATTTAAGTGTTATAAAAAATCACTTATAATTTGTATGTTATGTATACGTTGAAATATATTTTGCTAATCGTAGATGTACATACTATGATAAAACATATTAATTTAATCGGAAAAGAATGAAGTAGTGTCTGTTCTGTAAGTACAATAATCTGAGCAAAGAAGTTATAGACAGCGTTGAAATTTAAATTAGAACCATAAGAAAGGGAAAAATATATTAATATTGTTTAATTTTGGGATTGTCAAGTAATTTCCACGAACCTTTCAATTTTTGTACATTTTCGCTTAGCGCGGGATCGACAGTCAACTATTTTTCTCTTGTATGCGCATGCGATACGCATAACTTCCTTCCTTAACAAAAAGAATTTTGGAATATAATTTAACGTGAAAGTTACAAATCTGAGTATTGAGTGCAATTTGTACACGTGTCGGCGTGTAATGCATGTAAGATTAAAAAAAAAAACGAAAAGTGTAAAAAATTTTAGTGGTCTGAATACATACATTGTGCGCTTCGTATAGTTTTCACGTGACAATTTATTATTAAATTCTAAAAGAATTGGTCAGAAAAAGAAATTTAAATACATTTGATAGTTTGCACGTGTGTGTGCATATATAATTCCATTAAGAACTTAACGAATCAATGTTAATTTTTATTATTTAGTGCATTATGGTATTTTTATTAATTCGAAAAATAATAGGCGAAATGCGCAGTTTGTATGGTTTTCGTTAGAAACAAAAGTAAACAGAAGTAAAAAGAAGACGAAGAAAGATTACGAAAAAGAAAGAACTTGCCTTCTCTCAATTTGTTACTCAAATGTGCGTAGAGTAAGACAACCGCAATGTCCATCGTTGGCTGATCTCTTATTTTTTTTTTATAAACTTTACTCTCATTGATACGCAAGCATTTATTTCGTGTTTTAATTTATTTTCCGTCCCTCTGCTTTCTATATTATTTTCTTTTTAAAAGCTTTTATTTTTTCTGGTCATTTTTTCTCTCTATTTACTCTAAAGAATCTTACCATCGGAGCGGCAAGTTATGGCGACGAACATCGCAGCTCAGCGGATCAAACGAGAATTCAAAGAGGTTATAAAAAGTGAAGAAGTAAGTCTGTATCTAAATGTATGTATTCCACGGAGAACTTATTTTGAATAAAGATTAGAAATTTTTATTTTGAAATTCAGTTTACTTAATTTTGCATATAAATGTTGTGATATATTGGAATAAATATATAATTATTTTTATATCTATTAAGTTCATATTCGTGCCTTAAGGATATGTTGTACTTTATCTATTAAATGATTAATGTTTATAGACGTGATAATTTTCACATTATGCAGGTATTGCTTGCTTAATATGAAATTTTCATTTAAATACATATGTAATAACAGAGAATGAGATTGTTTGAATTTCAAACATCCTTTAAATAATTAGAATCTTAAATAATTTTTGTACCTATAAATTTTATTCTATATATTTTTTATATTTTTAACATAAAAATAATTAAGCTACAATTACCATTATATTTATAAGTTTATCAAAATTTTTTTAGTTTAATTTTATCATTTTTGAAAGCTGTTAATATTTAATTAGTTTTGTAAAGAAACATAATATAATAAATTCTTTTTCAATATTTTTTCAAAACATCAAATTTAATTCTAATGTAAATAAATAATATAATTTTAATATAATAAAATTCTAACAATATGCTAAATAATTTAAGTTTTAGTAAAATTTAATTAATTATTTGGACATGATATTAAACAAATCTTTCTGTATAAGATAAACTTATCTTTATTAATCATGAGCTTGACATTTTTATAGTTTTTTAAATGTTGTTTAATAAAATTTATAATACTTTAACATAATTTTTTTTAAATATTAAATTATTGATAATATATATTTTTAAATTATGGAAAAATAATTAAAATTAAAAATTAACATTAACATACATATGTAAAACATTTTTTAATTTTATTGTAAATTAATTAAATAAAAATTATAATATGTAACATAATCACTTGAATTTATAAAATCTTATTGGAAATCATTTATTAATTACAGACAAAAATGTTTTTATTTTTATTAAAAATTAATTTTATAAAGATGTTATTTTATTATTTAATTAGTATAAAATAAAATGTTAACTTAATAGATATATTAAAAAATAACATTTAAAACTTATTTTCTTTAAATATAATTTGTATATATAAATAAGTTTTTAATTATTCTAAAAATATATAATTAAATTTTGAACTCTAACAAAAGATATGCATTTATTATATTTTTATATTTTTTTTGTATATAAAAATTATAAATAATGATACTTATAAAATGATTTATGAAAATCGTATTAATAAAGAAAGGAAGTAATAGTAAATCATATATTTAATTAATATATTTTGCTCTTAAACTTCTGTTTGGTATCATTTTTTATTATTCTAATGGTTTCATAAATTTGCTTGATTTGCATTGATTTTAATTTTAATATTTTAACTAATATTTTTATTTCCTTTGATCTTTAAAATATTTATTTTTTATTTTATGTATAATAATTATTTCATGGTATAATAATCTATTGAATAAACATATATAAGTATGAGTATATAGAAAAGTTATTCAATTTTCAATTTGTTATTATTTAAAGATGGAAATTATTTTTAAACCTTAATATTTTTAAATTGTTAGCTTCATAATTTTTATTGATTAGAATGGGTAGAATTAGAAAATGAAGTAATCATCGATTCAGAATTAAATGAAAATATGTTTTTAAATAAATTTCTACATTAGTAATTTTCATTATATTTTGATTAGAATATGGGATTCTAAATTAAATATCAGTTTTATATTTTAATGTAAATATACCAATAACCAAAATTTATTTATAAACAGTTAATTCTTAATATTACTTATAATAATTTTCAGGTTGCTCAATGTTCAATTAAAGTAGAGCTTGTAAATGATAGTTGTGTTGAACTAAAAGGAGAAATAGCCGGACCTCCAGACACTCCATATGAAGGTGGAAATTTTATTCTTGAAATAAAAATTCCAGAGACATATCCATTCAATCCACCAAAAGTATGATCAATTTTGGCCTATATAGACATATCTAATAATTGAAATTAAGAGCTTGGTTTATCATATGTAAACAGATATTTTAATAAATTTATAAAGATAACGTATAAACAAATTTAATTTAGTAAAAAGTTTTATTTTTATGATGGCAAATTAGTGCAAAATGATTTCTGTAAAGAGGTTAATAATTATTTTATATTTAATGTTGATATTTATAATTTATAAATATTTATTTTACAATGTACTTTTGTATCACATTTTCTAAAATGTAAAAATATAATGTAAATTTATATATATATATATATAATATAATATAATGAAAAGTAATATAAAGCACTATTATTAAATAGCTATAAAATTATTATTTTTATATTTTAAATATTTTAGGTAAGATTTATAACAAAAATATGGCATCCTAATATATCTTCTATAACAGGAGCAATTTGTTTAGATATATTAAAAGATCAATGGTATGTACAAATTGAATTACATTATTTATTTATTGAAATTTTGTATTATTGTATAATTTTGTAGGGCTGCAGCTATGACTTTAAGAACTGTGCTGCTTTCCTTACAAGCTCTTTTGTCAGCAGCTGAACCAGATGATCCACAAGATGCAGTTGTAGCTAAACAGTATAAAGAACAGCCAGAAATGTTTCATCAAACTGCTAAACATTGGACATCTGTGTATGCTGGCGGTAAATTTTATAATTTTCATTGTTTGCAATGTAAAAGATTCCTATGCTTCAAAAATAATTAAAAAAAAAACATTTATTTTCATACATTTAGTACAAACATACTTGCTTCATAAATTTGTGTAGTTTAACATATATTTTATACTGTATTATATGTATTAAATTATTAGAAAATAAAAACAAATTTTCTGTAAATTTAATTTTGTAATATTAAATTAAATATTAAATTATTTAGTAGATTCCTCGCGAAATAAAGTATATAGGTGAATTATTCAGTAATAAATTTTTTTAAATTTTGACATGAAATAGTGTACAAGTAAACAAAAAAAATGGAATATAAGTTACATCATTTTTTTAACACTGAAAGAAAAATAATTTAAAACTTTTAAAATTATCAAATTTAATATAAAATAAATTTTATTTAATCTTATTTATGATTATTCTTTTGAAATGTATGAAAAATTTAAGTAGATATATAACTTAAACCGGAGTTTTTAAGTTTTTCAGAATTTTATATATTTTAGAATATATTTCTTATTCTTTTTATGATTCTTACCTTTAGTTTTGTCTTAAACTTTATTAATTGAACTTATCCAACAACTTTCTTTTTTTACTAAGTTTGAAGGTATTAATTAAAAAATATGAAACATTTATAGTAATTATTATAAGTTAGTAATGTAATGGAAATTCAAATATGCTAATGTTATTAGGACCATCAAAAATGCCAGAATTGGACGAAAAAATTAAACGCTTAACTGATATGGGAATAGAGGAACATAATGCACGAGACGCACTCTCTTCATACAATTGGGATTTGGAACGTGCTACAGAGCAGCTCTTCAGTTAGTGGTCACTGGATGGCATTAGCTTGATATTATTCATATACAACACCCATTTCATAACTCGACATATTTGTACAAACAACTATGATCCCCCACTTGATCATATTTATTGTAGTAGCATTATATGAATTCAACATATTATGACAATATTCAAAGGAAATATTGGGTGGTTAATCGAAGGCTGGACGATAGTTGTTTATTTATTTTGTAAAATAGGTATGAGAAAAAAAAGTAGAGTTATATATGAATAAAGAGTGGGAGTGTGAAATGAGTACAATGAAATTTTAAATCGTTATCATATCTTATGAATAGTTTATCATAATGCGATAAATCATTGTCTCAGATGTTCCTGCTTGTGTATAGAACAAGATTAATGAAAAATGCTCAGAGTAATTTTTCTGAATCTTCATCGCTTTCCATTTATAATATCATACAGTGTAATTTTGTATATGTGATATTGATTTAGTTGCCAATTTATTTGTTTTAAAAAAAGTATTTATAATAAACTGCTTTTTTGGTTAATAATTTTTGTTATATTAATTTTTTACAAAATTTAATCGTCCAAAATTATACGTTATTTCTGTATAACAGGAAAATATTCTAAGTTCTACAAATTTGATATTGTTTAATGCTAAAAAAGTTTATAAATTACTGATAAATTATTTAGTTTCATATAATAAAACAGGATTTATTAATTTATAATCATTTTAAACGATTACTTATATTAATATATCTAACCATTTTCTAAGAATAATTTTATTGTTGATAATTAATATTTTTATTTATATAAGTGTTTTTATATCACATTATAAAAATTTATATTTACTTCAATTTGAGCTATATATTCATACAAAAGAAAATTTATTTAGAAATAGACATTTGTTAGACCGCATTGAAACATTAATATTTTAAAGTAGGTATTCCAACTTTGTATATTTTATTATATATGTCGAAAAGTGAACAAAATTTATATGGTAATTGAAAGCAAGTATAATATTTTAATTTTAATAGAATACCTATGACAGTTATTTACATCTAAATAAATTTTCTGATTCATGTAAAAATCAAGTTTGTAAATAATAAGAAATGTTAAATTTTAAAGCCATATGAATTACAATTTTATATAAGCTAAATAATGTTTTCTGAAATTATTTGAAAGGCGACATAAATAAAAACTGAATTTTAATATAAAAAATTTTACCTTTAAACATACCATAATGAATAAAAATACAAACAATTTAAATGGAGTGATCAATACAATTGTATAAATGATTTTTTTTCTTAATATTTATATATTTTTTAATATATATATTTAAATATTTATATATATATATATTTTTTTTTTAACGTGGATTAATTATTTAATATTATATTTTTGGAAAATGACTTCTTTATATTCAAAGTTAAAAAATGTTACTTTTATTGATTGTTATTAATGGATAAAGCTATTCATTCAATTTTTAAAAACAGTTTATTGCTTTTTTTATACATTGAATTTAATACAAATTGAATTTAAATTACAAATACATTATATCTATTATGTAATTATTATTATTTTAAGTATTTTAAGATTTTTCAACATTAGGTGTTATTAAATTCACATTTTGTATCATTTAAGAAATGAAAATGTTTGGTTCAAATTAAATAATATGTAATTTCATCTTAAATATATATCAAATTTTGTGGCACCTTTTCTAGATTAATTTTTATTTTAGATTAAAAACTAAAATAATAAAATTTTTTTTTAATACCAAAAACATTTTTAAAAATTTGATTCAATATAAATGAATTGTATAACAAATCCTTTTTAATACTGTATTGTTTTAATACTACTAATTTAAAAATATAGGAATTTAATATAAAAAAATAATATAGTTTCTTAAATAAATTAAAATAAAATTTTAATAAAAAACTGATTTTTCTCTTATTGCAATAATATTTTTGCATATAAAAAACTTTCAATTACTAATATTAAGATTTTGTAAATATTTGATGATAAAGATGAAGTTTATTTGATGTAAGAATTGCTTGATATATAACATCACTTTCAAAGAAACAAACATCAACCACAGGTTCAGAAATTGGTATACTAAAAGCTTCCTGTCCAGTTGATATACTCCATGCTATAATTTGATTTAAATTTTCATTATTAGCTACTACTATTGTTTCATTTTTTAAATTTATGTAACAAGGCCTTGAGAGTAACTTTTGTGTATTTCCAGCATTAAATGAATGCACTGTATTAAATTTTATTTGGTCTTCATTTTTTTCAATTGTACATACCATATGCCTAACAAAGGGATATTTTGCATTTGCTCTACATGAAAGTAGTACATGATTGTTTTTTTCATTATAACGTAAAGATGTAAAGGGTCCTTCAATATTGATTCGATTGCCTTCATAATTACCTTCATTAAAACCATATGCATAACATGAATTTAGTTGACATGCTAAATAACCCCCAGTATGAAAAACTAAACTAGTTGTTGGTATTGAAGCAAGTGATACAACTGGAGATCTATTAATAAAAAACATATTATGAACAATATAAATTGTAATTAAAATTTATCGATTAAAAATAATAAAAAAATATAATAAAATATTTACTCATATACATAAATAAAAAAATAATTTGTTAAAAAGGTTAAATTTTATTTCTATTTTAGGAAAATTTAAACATTCTTTAGGAATTGAACAATATCAATTTTAGTATTTTTCATTCTGAATTCGATAATTAATAAATGTTATTAAGTAGAAGATAATTCAAATTTTCATAAATTTATTATCAAATGAACATAATTCAATTCTTTAAATTTTTTATAAATGCTTTTTACCTGTCGTCTACATTTTCTTTCGTAGATACTCCAGATTGTAAAAATCGTATATCATATTCTATAATATTACCCCTTGCTCCTCCAACAAAAAATGTTTGATTGTTATAATTTGACCAGCAACAACTCCATAAACTTGTTTCTTCTCGATAACTGTGAGTTAAGAGATTATTTCGTATATCCGTTAACATGATGTTCTTATCAAATGCAACACTTAAAAGGATATTAGGATGTTGTTCGTGAAATGTTATATCTCTTATAGGTCCATTATGAATATTATAATTCAGCGAAGTAGAGAGAGAATCTATAAATATTCTATTGATTGCTTTACCTGATGAAACTACAAGAATTTTATGCCATGGATTATATGCCATGACCCTACAGGAACTGTTATTTGAAATGTTATAAACTTTATTTTCACTTAGAACTATATTCTGAAATTTTATACAAAAATTATTTTTTTCAAACGATACTGTATGAAATACCTTTTCTAATTTAAAAATTTTTTGTTTTAAAGAATTTAGTTGTTGTTCATATATTATTTCTTTGAATTTGTATTGTCTAAGTTCCCTTTCGATTAATTCTTTTTTCTTAGTAATTTCTTTTACTTCTTCTTTTAATTTTTCTACTACATTTGTATCAATACAACGAAGATTCTTCGCATATAAAATTCGAATATCTTTTTTTGATGCTTTTTTATTACATTCCGGGCATTTCCTAGCAGCAGCATTTCTTGCTACATTAAACCACTGCTCAATACAATTAAGACCAAAAAGGTGACCACAACGTAATGCACAGAGCCTATGATCTCCTGCACTGCTCCAAATTTCTAGACATATTGAACATTTTTGATCATCGTTCAGTGAATCATTGTGTAAAACAGTATTTATCTTTTTGTTAACATCCTCATGTAATTTAATCTTTTTTGGTGCTGTAAAAAAATTAAATGTTTTCAATCTTTTATATAATTTAAAAAAATACATAGGTAATCTTTACATTGAACAATATTTTCATCCTCAACATTTTGACTAAAATTAATTTCTGTATCATTGCTTGATTGGCTCATCTGATTATTTTGACTTAACAGAATACTTTGTCCACTTAAATTGTCATCTTCGTGAAAGTCTGAACCGTCAGCAACTATATTCGAAGTTATGTGATTAATGTCATCATAATTATTACTCATATTGACACTCGTTAATCTGAAATATATTGTATAATTCACTAATTATTCACTAAGATAATTGCTATTTTCTTATATATTATAATCTATTAAATGATTTTATAATCAATATCAAATTTAAATTCAACATGGTCTATAAATATAAATAAAAAATTAATTGATTCAAACTGAAAAATACCTATTCATAATAATTTTTAATATTAGATGTACAATCATTTAATAATAGCAATACATTTCCATATTAAAGATCAACAAATTTTATGCTTAACATTAAACTATACAAATTCATTTATTCATACTTATACATATTTTGACTTTCTCAACTGGGTCATGTTACAACTGAATGTACTTAGATGGCATTTAATAAATATTTAAAAAGCAGTCAGTTTTTTTTTAGTTAACAATTATGAAATTACAATATTTGTTTTAAAAATTTGAAAGTTTTAAAAAACTTATGGAAATATAACAATGAATGAAAAGTATAAAATCAATGAAAATGTAGAAAAATTAGTGCATATAAAATAACTATAAAATCAGATGTAATATATTTGTGATATAATATATAGATATAATAATAATAATATTATGAAATATAAGGGCTTCGAAGAAATAAGTATATAAGCACCATGCGATTTCATAAAAAACTGTTTTTACCTTTAATGATATAGATTTAATAAAACTTTCTAAAATATTATTTCGATATCTAAAATTTAAAATAGGAATTCCATGCATTCAAAAAAAACAATAAGCTGTAACCTATACTGAATGTAGCTTCAAAACCATGCTATATAATAGTTGGTACATTGCAAATGCAATAATTACATCCCATATATAATATAAAAAATTGTGCTGATATTATGATAGAATAAATAGTTTAAAGCAGATTTAAATATATTCGATTGAAAATTTGATTTGAGTTTTATAAAATAATTATACTTTTGTTTATAATTTATCTGCTACATTTTTTAATCTTTGATATTTTGGTTCAGTGTTTTACAAAGTTACAAAAATAATGATATATACGATATTTCTATATAATCTTTTTCAATATTCAAAAAAATATAATGTAGCTGAATATTTTAGATAGATCAGTTGTAAAATTGTAGCGATCATTTTTAATACTCATTTTCAATTATTTCTATTGGATATATATATATATATATATATATATATATATATATAATTTAGACAATTTATCATCGATAATAATATAAACTTATTAAGGGAGATAAATACATTTTGTAAATATAACTAATATTATATATTGAATTAAGAAAATATTATTTTTATAATAATTTTCATAGTGATGTAAATAAATATAAATTAATAATATTTTAATTCGATAATTTGTATATGTATTTAATAAAATCAAATTACTATCGACAAAATATATAAGCATTATATATCTATATTATATATATATTTACTTTATACTAATTAATTACTACATACAATATCATATAGCATTTAAGAATTTAAAATTTAATTTATATAAATATTTCATGGTTTATCAGTTACTTTCAAATCTGTTATTTTAATTCTCGTTATTGTTAACGACCAACATTCATTTTCAATTTGTCTAAAAGTGTAGATTACAGTGGCATTTTAGATTTTTTTACAGTTTATTGACAATATAATCAACATTGTTCTATTCGATTGCACTATAATATTTCGATAGTAGTCTTTTTTTATTTCCATATCGATTTATAACTTTGATAAAACTTGTTATATCAATAAACATTTAAATAATAGATAAACTAAACTTTTACATATTCATATTAAACAGATTGTTAATTTGCTGCAAAATTAAAACGCTGTTCTGCTTCAAAGACTTTTAAGTTAAAGATACCAAGCTTGTATACTTGAATTAGGATTGCCTATTACGTTGGAATTACAAAATCTGGAATACTTTAAATATAACACTTGATAAAACAAAAGATATTTTCTTACCTTTATAAGCTTGTGAAATATATTGTATAGTATTGCATAATAATATGACTATTCATCGTTATATATTTGTCTACTTCTTTAACTACATATCAGTTTTGAAGTTCATATTTTTCTTTTTTACAAATAACAGTGAATTTTGATAAGATTTCTCAATTTCCGTTGTACGTCACGAAATAATTGCGTAATTTTAATTAATATATCGTGTACAAAATGTATTCGCCGTTCCGGCTTGTTTTACCAAGACCGGTTCGAAAGATACTAATTGATGCCGTTCTGTTACGGATTGAACAGTTGAAAGCGGAAGACAAAAGTGAGAGAGATATAACATATATATATATATATATATATAACAGCGCGCGAACGATTGTTTATAAACACTAGCCAACGAACTCGAGTAATATTTCTACACCGAAAACCCGAATATAGGACTAGAATTTCGAAGAATTATAACAATGAAACTCACAAAAACTATGCTTATTGACGTCACAAAAAAATACCGGTATAGTAACAGACACCGGATCGCCACCGGCGCCCAAAAAATTACTACGAGAATACTTAAGGACTGCGCGTGCCACGCGCCAGTCAGTCTTTGTCGGTTCTTTGCGAGTCTTTGTCTCAGCTTAGCGTAATAACGATTACGCAGTAACACAGCAGCTCACTATTCAGTCTTCAAGCTTCTTTCTACAGTCATCTCTCACTGTAGATACACACGTACGTAATTGCTCAACCAGTAAGCAATTTGACTATACAATAGTGAAATTGCAGCATATTTCAGAATCCGCTAATCAAACTTAACGAATAACGCGATAGTGCTAACTTAATCAAGAGTAAAACTATCGAAGCCTACTACATTTATTAACGGATTACACCGACCCTAAGATAGCAGCAGCGGTCCCCCTTTAGAAAGCTTCGGTGCAACAGCAGCAATTCCTACGCACCAACACAAAGGCAGGAGCAACCCAGTCTCACTTAGGCAGCAGCGGTACAACAGCGGCGGCTCTCACGCATACTACTACAGCGGCACTTCTCGGAAGGGAAGGAATCACTCCACACATCACGGAGAGTACATACACACCCGTCAGCACGTAACACTATTGAAGAAACTTCCTCTAATTCATCGTTCACACCTTTATTCACACACTTTATGAATAATAACTATTTATTACATTATTATTTTTAATAAAGGAAAGAAAGGAAACACTGCATGTAGTATTGAATAATTGCATTGCCCCTTCCACTTGCCAGCAACACCCAACATCTAAGGAGGTTTTCAGTCTGATCCCAGACACGTTAACAACTCAGAGACCACGGATGGTGTGTGATAGCGATGAAAGGTCACAAGTGGAAGGGATATTATAAATAATTTAATATAAATATGGCTGGTGTATATGCTGTTTATTCTGTTATTTATCCAATTACAGGGTTTGACCAGTATTACTATTATTAATTATTAAAATGACTTGTGGTGGATTAATGCGTTTACTGTGGCAAACATACACTCATCTAATGCAGCGTGATGTTTCGAGTATGAGCGCAGAATGGCGTAAAGTTTGATTCGTTGACACTTGCGCTGTTCGCGTGAGCACATGTTTAGTTGACATTATGGTTTATAGTGTAGCGTGACGTATACAACTGGTGTTAGTAGAGCTTATACTCGGATTGTAGCAAGTGTACGGGTCTGAGATCAGACTAAAAACGCTTCCCTGAGATGGTGAAGAGAGGTTTGTTGGCAAGTGGAATGGACAATGCAATAATTCAATACTGCTTTTGTATGAGTTGGTTTTCCCTTTATTGAATAATAATGATATAATAAATAATCAGTGGTCTATGGAGGTGAGATTGAATGAATGATACAATGAATGGGTGAGAGTTTCTTCAGGTGATATGAGTGATGATAATCTTATAAGTATATTCTTGAAGTGAGTGACTCTCCTACTTGTGATTAGAACTCGTAGTGGTAGTGGGAGATGTGCTGATAAAGGATGATGATGCCGTGAAGAGTGTCACGGTGTGATAGGTGAGTGTTGACGCCACCGATTGCCGCTACCGATACGTTGGAGAGGCCTGGTGGTGGCGTTGGTGTGTGACGTCACTGTTGAGGAGAATTGATACCGCCGTTGCCGCTACCGATAAGCTGGAGAGGCCTGAGTGGTGGCGTTGGTGTGTGACGTCACTGTTGAGGAGAATTGATACCGCCGTTGCCGCTACCGATAAGCTGGAGAGGCCTGAGTGGTGGCGTTGGTGTGTGACGTCACTGTTGAGGAGAATTGATACCGCCGTTGCCGCTACCGATAAGCTGGAGAGGCCTGAGTGGTGGCGTTGGTGTGTGACGTCACTGTTGAGGAGAATTGATACCGCCGTTGCCGCTACCGATAAGCTGGAGAGGCCTGAGTGGTGGCGTTGGTGTGTGACGTCACTGTTGAGGAGAATTGATACCGCCGTTGCCGCTACCGATAAGCTGGAGAGGCCTGAGTGGTGGCGTTGGTGTGTGACGTCACTGTTGAGGAGAATTGATACCGCCGTTGCCGCTACCGATAAGCTGGAGAGGCCTGAGTGGTGGCGTTGGTGTGTGACGTCACTGATGAATGACAATGATGCCGTGGTTTAGGTATTGCTGCTTACTTAGTTCACGGAGCCGTGTGTTAGTGATTCGTAAGAACGAGTGTCATAGCGTAGCTTACGTGTGTAGAGTCGATCTCAGTTGTATTGATGATACGTTGAAATGGCGTTGACTTTTAGAACAACAATTTGATCTTGATGATTGCTTGATTGAACTAATAAGAGGTCGAGAGCGTCATGTGCAGCTCCTTAAATATTCTCGTAAAAACTAGCTGCACCAATAGTGGTTCGGTTGCCGTTGCTATGCCGATATTTGTCGTGACGTCAACAGGGCATAGACTCGTAGAGTTCATTTGTTATTACTTTTGGAATTATAGTAGTATATTTGAGTTTTTTTGTTATAAGCATTCTTTGGGTTCGTTAGTCAGTTTTTACAAAACAAATGCTCGCGCACTCATACCTCTCCCACTTTTTATTCCGCTTAGAAACTACTACGGTGTAAGCGGGGTTTGTCGATTGCTCTCCGTGCGCATGGGCACGTGTTTGTGAAGGTTATGGCCGACCAGGTGGGTGCTCAATGAGCAACGGTTGTTAGTAGAGATTATACTCGGGTCGTAGCAAGCGTACCTTAGTCCTGGTATTGGCGTACTGCAGAGTTGTTCCTTGAGAAGAAAGAGGTTGTAAGGCTCCACGTCG